TGTTATTATAACGCTCTCCTGAAATCACCTTCATTTCTATTGTTGTCGAATCAAATCAGTCAATTCTTCTTTAGACAACCCTTTTATATACAGTTAGTTCCTGTATATTTTTTAATTTTTATTTGATGTTCAATACTTTCCCCTAAATACAACCCAGAAGGAGAATGCGTTCGCTGCGCAAGCTTTTAGCAATTGAAGAGACCTATGGGAAAAGGTTCAGTGGATTTATCAAGTGGGAATAATATTATTCTTAACTGCGAAAAAAGCCTGTTTAATTGGTTACCGCTTTTTTAATTGGTAAAAAACCTTCTTGATCCTTAAAAAAACATTCACGATACATAATACATAGGAAATCGAGTTTATGATCTCTTCCAGCGTTAAAATATACTAAGGGTAACTAACCTTAGCGCTTCTGTCTTAGAAAGGAAGCCAACCGCGGTGGATTCGTTTAGTTCCTCATTCCACAATTTCACAGCTACCTGTGCTGGTTCTCTTTGTCGTGGTATCCTGAATGTTCCTCGATAAACTGAAGCGAATGCTCCTTTTCCAAGATGTGAAGTTTGATCGCCCCGATCCCACTCCAAGTCATTACGACTTATTACCATGTACTGTACTTCTTTAATGAAAAAGAGGGCCAACTTTTCCTTTACTCTTACACTCATTTCTTCTAAATCACCATAGGATTTTTTGATTTTCCCTTTTGGGCGAGTCTCATCTCTGAGCTGGTGATATAGCATTTTGTAAGCGGCTGTGAGCTCGCGCAAACGAGATGAAGCCCGAGTAAGGTGATCCTGGGCGTCTTTGAGCTGCTCTTTCACGATCGAACTTAGCTGTTGCTCTTTACTCGCATGGCGAAGGAATTCACGGGAAGCTTTCACGATGAAGCCTTGTTGATCTTTTACGTATTTTGTTGAATCTTTCCTTTTTTTAAATTTCTCTTTAAGTGTCATAACACCAAAGATTGGGACTACAACTAGGCTGACTGGAACCCAAATTGGACTTGTAACCCCGATCAGAACTTTTTTGGCCGCACCGAAGTCATTTGAAGACGGGCAAATATTTGATTCACTCGCAGCATCATCCGTAATAACGAAGTTCTCCAAGTACTGAAGTGGAAGTAGACTCTTTTCTTTATTAAGTCGCTGGTTGGAGAAATGGACCAGAGAAATGTGAGTGTTGGACAAAATGTGATTCTCGTCTTCCCATGCGGCGATCGTGTTCTGAAGTCGCTTCATAAATGCATCCTGGATGAAATGTTCGTTTACCTCCCAACTACTTTCGGTTTTTGGAATATCGTCAAGGGTCCACGAGGTAAATTTTTCCACTACTTCTCTTGTCTGTAGATGTTTGGACAGCACCCTCGCGGCGTCGTCTGCCATTTTTCTGAAATACCCTTGCATCTCTTTTTCTACTGAGTGCAACCGCTTTTCGACGTCACGAAGGCGTTTATCGAGGCGTAAATCATCAGAGACGAGAAGATCCTTAACCATTTTCATGTGGTATGCCATACATGAAATGACGAAGTTAAGCCACCTGAAAGGGGAAAGCATGGAAATTTCAAGTACTTTTTTTCGCCAAAAACGTTTATCATACCGTGAAAATAAAATTTGAAGAAATGAACTACAGTCGAACCTTCCGTAAGCGACCACTCGAAAGAGTTTTTTATCGTACATGTCTTTAAACCTGCTATTGTAATTTATAAATTCTTCCAATGCTTTATTCACGTGGTAGAGCTAATTTGGAAAACACTGGCGGCAGCTCCAATTTGCAACAATTGTTTCCGCTCCTGAGAGATAAAGCCGATTTTCTGTAAAAAGGTCTTTTGCGAGAGGTTAAAACAATTGAAAGTTGGAAACAAGCTTCTCTTAGAGTAGTCGCTTGAGAGAGGTTTCGTTTGTAGCGATTTGACTTGGAAACTTTTGATATTTTAAAATAGTGGTCGCTTACGAGAGTTCGTCGCTTAAGAGGGTGGTCGTAAAGTTAGGTTCGACTGTAGTCGGACAATTAACCAGGAAGACATGTATTACGAAAGTGGAGATTTTAAGCGCATTCAGACTCTAGGAATACGACTTTTTTTCAAGTTTTCTCTAGAAAGCACTTTCTGATAACTATATGAGTATAAAAGTAAATCCCATAATTTTCTATGCGTCTGCGTCTGTATAAGGTTGTTAGTTTCACTGTGTACCTGAGGAAACCTAATTAGATCAAGATATGAGGGGCAGACGAATTTTGCTCTTTTTAATAGGGGAAATAGAATTAGATAAGAATGGGATGAAGAGAACTCCAATGAAGTTAAGATGTGACTTATGGCCATAATATTCTCACGTAGCTTTGTAAGAACTTCTAGTCATAACAGAACGTACCTCCACTGCTTTTGCAACGTTGCTTTAATGTTTAGTAAGGCGCTGGATTTAATGCCATCCATCAGCAATGCAAACTCCTTGGGAGCTTTTTCATCGTTTAAGGCGTTAAGTGATGAAAAGTAAATTATTTGGGAATCTGGGTCTAGTTCAGGCCAGTATTCTCTGAGTTTCCCAATGACGTGATTTTTGATGGAGTCAGCCTCTCGTTGAGATAATTGATCCCAGTCGTTACATAGGAAAAGAGGAAAAATTGACGAGGTTTCCCTTCGTTGATCAAGACATACTTTTCTGCATTTTTTGATTGGTTCTTCTATCTAAGAACAAACGTACATTACATGGAGTTTAAAATTCCTTGGAGGGTAAAATAGTAATGATGACAAACGAAATAGCTGACAATTATTCACGGAAGTGGAGGTAAATATCCACCACTTTTAACGACGCTAAAGTGAATAATTTTTCTTAGTGTATACCACACAGATTCCAAAAAATAAGTTTAAATTTATTTATTTGACAATACCAAACCATGGTCGGCAATTAATATAAACTCTTGACGCGTAATTTCGTTTTCATCGGCCGCGCCGGGGTGAATATTTCTTGTTGTCCACTTCCGTATCAGCCAATCAGTAAGCGCAAAAAACAATAGTAATAACAATAATAATGGTAATGATAATGATAATAACGTCTGATGAATATGATACATGTAACTTTAACTGAGTTGACATTATTAAATGATGGTGATAATATATATAATATATATAGGTTAGCATTACCATTTTGAACCTTTTCTGCGAACGTTGCTCATTAATCTAATCAAATACGATATTAAAAACGGCGGTTACGAGTTGGTCTGCAGTTGGATAATTGTATTTTTCAATTGAATGAACGAATGAATGAATGAATGAATGAACGCACCGCTTTTTGGGTATGGTGACACTGCCTGTCTATGCAACTTACCATATGTTGCTGTGCTAAACTGTTGATGACGCAGATAACTGCGAAAGCCTTAGAAAGGTATGGCTTTACTTTCTCGTCAACGATGTATAATTCATCAAATGCTGGACTGTCAACTATAACGATTGTCTCCTGGAACAGAAAAAGAATTAGAGGTAAGTGAATCTTCAAAGAGTTCTTTTTTGGATCAATATTTCTGTAATGTTGTTGTCGAATCATCTAGAGACTCTTTTTTTCTCAAGATATCAGATTGTGAACGAGAACGATATATGTCATATTTCAGGTATAATCCGTCAATGAATAGCACTCTGCAAGACCAAAGCTTTGCCAAGAATAATGCTTGATAAATTCTCAGTTTTAGCAACCCTCAGCTCACAAATTACATGATATTAAGCCTTAAGCTTTCCTTGCTTATCACCAACCTTCAGTAGGTTGTTTGGCCAAAAGATCTCAACCTTATTACAACCTTGCCTATCTTGATCTAGGAAAAACGAGGAAATTTGTTGAAGAAAGATTTGTTGAGAATTCTCAGCCATCTGTCCAAGTTGAATAGTCTTTGTGTGAAGCCCTGTTTCGGGATCTGCGTCTGTAAAGTGCGCTACAATCTTGTGGGTTATTCCATATCTTAGTTCGCAGATGATGGAAGAGGTGCCAAGAAAGGAGTCAGGGAGTAGTTGCTCCCCGAGAATCAGACTCAGCAACGTGCTCTTTTTCGAATTTCTTTCACCTGTCGAGAGCAATCGCCAGATGAAAGAACAAAATGATCCACAAAATCAGTTGTGTTTAAGTATCCATAAATTAAATAAAAATAAATTTTTCATTGCATATTTCTCATGATTATGCAAAATAAGTTCTTATGACTACAGAAGTCTTACTTCGGGGTAGGCCGTGAAAGTTCACCCCAAAATTATGCACGATTGGCGATCAACGACAGGAAGGTTAAAACGGAGAATATGCCGCAATGGAAGAGTGAAGACTGGTACCAGGAATAGACGTTGCTATAGAGAAACTGTGCAAGAGATATTACGTCCGTCAAGTCCGTTTTAATTGTCTCTTGCTACCGGCCTTTCCAAGCTAGTGACGTAGTCGTGTGGCGGACAGTCTGCCTAAGGGCGAATGGAGCATATGGGAGGGAAACTTTAAGCTACAACATACGCACATGCTTCAATCTCTACGTAATTATGAGCTTCCAAAATTTCTTAAGCAACCAACCTGCAACGAGCACGACGTATTCCGTTCTCTCTAGACTCTGTTTGTGGTAAGCCATTCGGTTCTTGAGATTCTTTACTCTCAGCTCCAGAAGTGCGTGGTCCTTGTCACTCAGTTTATTCAGACAGGCGTCTGTGCTCTCGAATAATTCTAGCAAGTGTCTCTGTCTTCTTTTGACTTCTTCCCTGGTCTCTGTCATTACTGAGAAGGCCTGATGAGTGGTGCATAGAGTGGTTAATTGCTTTGCGAATATATCATCAATGGCAATGAAACTTGGATTTACATTCTATGTCTAAGTCGTTCGTTTAATCAAACACAACGAATATATGAAATTCATATATCTGAATTGCGGTTATAGAAACGTATTTTTGCATGATCCTCACAGTTAAGAGCACTATTAAGCAGTAGTGAAAATCAGACCTGAAAAAATTCAGGCCTGTACGGGATTCGAACCACTGACCTCTGCGATACTAATGTGGCGCTCTACCAATTGAGCTAACAAGCCAACTGGGAGCAGGTTACCAAAGTAATTCGACACAAACCCGTAAGATGATAAATCAAACACAACAAATATATGAAATTCATATATCTGAACTGCGGTTATAGAAACGTATTTTTGCACGATCCTCGCAGTAAAGAGCACTATAGTGCTCTTTACTGCGAGGATCGTGCACATCCGAACGTCCCTGCGAACACCGGGCTCTTTACGAGGATAGTGCAAAGATACGTTTTTATAACCGCAGTTCAGATATATAATATATGAATTTTTTATATATCGTTGTTTGATTTATCATCTTACGGGTTATGTCGAAATAATTTGGTGACCTGCTCCAGTCGGCTTGTTAGCTCATTGATAGAGCACTGCACTAGTATCGCAGAGGTCAGTGGTTCGAATCCCGTACAGGCCTGAATTTTTTCAGGTCTGATTTTCACTATTGCTTAAATAGTGCTCTTTACTGCGAAGATCGCGCATAAATTCGTTCGTTTAACGTTAAATAAAACTTTCTGACTTAGTATGTTGACTCGATCAAGCTAACGTAGGCTGGAGCATATTTCCTTGCATGCGCATTTCATTCTATTCACATACTCGAGTTTAGATATGATTAAGAGTTCAACTTCGACTCGGAATTCGAGTTGAACTACGAGTTGCCACTAAGATACGAAGAAAGTCCTCTCATGCAGAAATGAAATTTTTAAAGGCACGAAATCACGGTTGAGTGCGTGCGTGGCGTGACAGCCTTGGGATTAAATTCGTCGGGTCAACGCTGAATGAATTAACAATCATTCCACGAGCGCGCGTTGGATATGAGATGATAGCCAGCGAGGCGCGTAGCGCCGAGTTGGCTATAATAATATCATGCAGTAAATGGTTTGAACCCGGGGGTAACATGGGAGGGTGTAGTCTGATCTCCCGAGTGAGTGTAGTCCTGAGAAGGACTGTTGTCGGTGGTAGTGACTGACGTTTTGGCTTACCAGGCAGTCTAGAAAAGGAAGTTTGCCATTTTCTTCGACTTCTCTGGTAAACTGTATGTCAGTGTTTTGTTCATTTAGGAGGTGGTGGAATGCGTCAATTTCGTCGTGTCGAAAGGCAGTGAATGTGTCGTCAACGTAACGTAACCAAAGCGGTATCGTTTGTCAGCAAGTCGAAAGGGCGCGTTCCTCGATGTTCTGCATACGGTTTACTAGAGAAGTCGAAGAAAATGGCAAACTTCCTTTTCTAGACTGCCTGGTAAGCCACAACGACAACTCATTACGGACGACAGTTTACAGGAAACCGACACACACCGACAGATTACTAGACGAGTCATCCTACAACCCTACATCACACAAAGCCACAACTATCAGAACTCTAACACGACGCGCACAACTAGTATGCGACTCGACAGACAGCTTATCCGACGAGAACAAATACCTTCACCGTGTTTTTACGAAGAACAACTACAACAACGACTTCATCCGACGAAACACTCACCGACCCACTACCACTACCGAAACAAACGACACCGCAACCCCTACGACTACAGCAACCATACCGTACATAAAAGGCATGTCTGAAAACATCTCGCGCATCTTACTACCCTTCAATATCCGCGTCGCCCACAAACCCATCACCACACTACGTCAGTTACTAACCAACGTTAAAGACAAAGACGAACCGAGGAACAGACAGGGAACGATTTATAAGATCAATTGTTCCGACTGCCAAGCCTCCTACATCGGTGAGACTGGCAGAAACCTCACAACAAGACTGACTGAACACAGACGGGCGACGAGGAAAGGTGATGTCAGCAATCACATTGCTGAACACCATCGACTTACCAACCACAACATTGACTGGGACTCTGCGCAATGCCTAACCTACAGCACTGACTATTTTCAACGACTGACTCTGGAAAGCTGGTTTACTAACTTAGAACAGACTCCCCTAAACAGATGTCAACAACTACCCGCTCCATACAAACGACTCATTCACGACATAAACATCACAAACGACCGAAAAAGAACGACCTAACTTTACCGACAGATCGAAACAGACCAATCACGACCGACTTACGTCACTTGAGTCTTACAGCCAATAACATCACGGCAAAACCAACCGATCATTTCACACGAACTGGAATAAGAACATTCTACTGACAACAATCATTCACTTGACTCTGATGATGACTTCCGCACAGGTTTTCGAAGCGTCAGTCACTACCACCGACAACAGTCCTCCTCAGGACTACACTCACCCGGACGATTAGACTACATCTTCACAATAATCTCATATCCAACAAGCGCGAGTGGAAAAATTATTTTATTTAAAAAACGCCCCCAAGATATTAGACAAATCTTCTCGGCTTTATTTTGTAAGAAGAAACCGGACGTTACAACGTACAGATATTAGATTATGGTATATTGGCTCATATACCATAATGGCTTAGCCAATAGAAGGTCTTGAATTGCAGTATCCAATGATCCAGTTTTTAATAATATGTGATATCGCTCGAGCAGTGAACCTGAACTCGCTGTAAGATTTGGCCACCCCTCCATCTGACAGTGCTTGTTGAGTTGTTCGATCATTGATTTATATTTTAGCGTAGTTTTTAAACGCTAATTTTTTTACTATTTCGCGAAAAATTTAGAGAATAAAGGTAGAGACTGACCGGTAGGGACTCCCTATCTGGCTTTTGTGGTCGCGTCGCATTATCAAATTTCTGACAGCTAAGTCAGCATGCTATCAAAAGGTCTGAAGTTCACCCCAACACCCGTGACAAACAAATTTAAAATCAGGCCAACTGATGTCTTGCGAGATCTGTTCATAAGATGATCTGAATGCACCACCACTTACACCTTTCACGGACAAAACAAAGAACCAAATCCGGATGCCACCGGTTCAGCCCTTGAGAGCTACTTAGTAAATTTCATAACAAAACTTGCAGAGATTACTGTATCCAGGCCATAAAACAATTTGTAACACAATAAGGTCATGGCTCTAAAAGAGTTGAAAAACAACTCCGCTTTAAACCCTCTAAAAAGCAACACAACAACAGTCACCTTGAATAGGACAGAAAAAAAGATGGCACGACTAAGAAATCGCTGTGATGATGATGATGATGATACCTTTATTTAAACACGATAATGTTTCAAAGCTGAACAGCTTGTGGGGTCGTGTGTAGATCAAATAAACTTCTAAATTAAATAAATTCAAATGATGGTTTTTGAGGAGAGAGGAAAACCGAAGTACCCGGAGAAAAACTTCTCGGAGCAGAGTAGAGAACCAACAAACTCAATTCACTTATGACGCCGGGTCCGGGAATCGAACCCGGGACACATTGGTGGAAGGCGAGCGCTTTCGCCACTACGCCAACCCTGCGCACTTACACTAATGTGTATGGTTGATAAGTGTATTTCAATTTGTATACTTGAGGAGAGTTCTGTGGGGAGTAGGTTCGATACGTTTTAACTGAAGTGCCCCGGGTCCCGATAAAAGTGTTTCGTAAGGGAAATAATTGTATTCTTCAGTCAAATTCAACCCTTTGCCTGTCAGACCTTAACATAAGCATAACGTGTTAATACGTTATAGTGAACTAACTGTTTTTCTATCAAAAAACATTACTTCACACACTGATTCAGTTAACAGCATTAATTTTGGAAATCAATTAGGTACCCGGTCTCATAAGAACTGGATAGTTGCTTGCCTAATGGACCACAGGATTTCGGTCAAAATTTGACATGAACATAATATGCTAACCTCAGATAACATGCAATGAACTTAGAACTTGGAGTGTACCTAATAAGTAAAGGAGTGCTGCCCAGATGTAATGTATCTAATAAGAACATAAACAATTACAATCCACCAATGAAACTATAAGTTTATTTGGCTATTCAACAACTACAGAAAGAGTTCTCCTTGACCCTTTTTTGTTTGGTTGGAAACAATTTGTTGGTTTATTTGTCACTAAAGGTTGTGCTTTGAGGTTTTCTCAATAAGCCTCTTGAGCTCTAACAAGTATTAAAAAGCTGAAACATGAACATGAACAATGTTTTAATGTCAGAGGTTTAAAAATAAAACTGATAGAACCCCAACGACTCCTGGATGATAGAAAAGAATTTCTCATTACTCCTTTTAAAAGGTTAAAAAATAAGAAAATATAACAAAAACAATTTTTGGATGATAAAAATGACTGTCATAACTTCTTTTTCTGTTTCATTTGGATTTCACAATAGTGTTTTTTGCTAAAAGCTGAAGAAGAAAATGTAAAAACAACAAGTTCTGGATGTTAAAACTTTCCATTAGTCCTTTTTCTGTGTGATCTGGACAATATTGTGTTTGCGATAACACATCGGTAAGCATCTGCTTTAAGGATAACTTGCACAATTTCCTGGCTCTGTACATGTTGACTTCTGTTCACTCTGTTGCATGGTGCGTAGATCACAGTAGATTACTGTAAATTGAAAGGAAAGAAATAAACAATTATAAAAAACCCCATAAAGGTTGTCAAAACGCTTTATGACAACATAACATAAAAGAGAAATGAATCACAAAGACACATACGGAAAAACAGGAATCTTTTCAGGAAAATCAAAGGCTTGTTTGCCCGAGAAAAAAAACCGCCGGACAACCCAGGAGAACAATTGAATTCCAGTACATGAATTACATCGTCATGTTCAACAGAATAAAGATTTGAAGCTATATTTGAGACACAAAAAGAGCTCTAAATAGCTCTCTTCTGATCGATGCAATCCCCCAAAATTCTTAAAAACTAAGGAAATCAAAGGTAATGTCACCGTTAATTGAACGTTTTTCGTTTCGTTCAATAATCCAAGATAAAGGCTGATAGTTTCTAAAAAAACTGTTTGGGGCTGCGTCGGTGGGGGTAACGAAATAATTTGAATATAACAACAAAGTTAAAATGGTAAATTGGCCACCGTTACGATTATAGAAATTGACGTTTCGAGAGTTAGCCCTTCGTCGGAGCGAATAGAGGAATTGCGGATTGTATGTGCTTTTAAAGGCAAAAAATGGAACTACTGATAGGTGGAAACCTGGCAACGAGAAAAACACGAATAAATTAGTGGAAGGAAAACCGTTCGTTGATACCTGTGGGATTTGGACTGCCGGTTTGAAAGATGAGCTTTTGTTCAAGAGTTTTACGGCTTTCCTTGCTACCTAAGTGTAAGGAAAGACCGCAGATCGCCATATGTTGCTTAGAATGATTAGGTAAATTAAAATGTCTAGCGACTGGTTTCGATGTGTCCTTGTCATTCCTCTCCACGTCGCGAAGGTGTTCTCCGAATCGGTCACCTAGTCTTCTGCCTGTTTCGCCGATGTAAATCTTTTTGCAGTAAGTGCAAGTTATGCAATAGATTACATTGGCGGATGTGCACGTGAAGTGATCGGTGATCTTAAACACGAAGGCGCGCTATATAAGGAAGTCTTCCCTGGGAAGAGCAAGGCTCATTTGTCACTCACCGTTGACGTGTGCGAGTCAAATTTAAATGCTCGTAGACGAACAAAAGGAGCTAATGAGATATCTATTGTTTACTTCCACCAGAATGGGGGCATGAGGTAACGTGCGAACAACCTACTTCGATCTCAAATTTACTGCCACAAATATAGACAGTTTCCATTGGAGAAAGGAAATACAAATTTCAAAAATTCTGGTATTGTGATGAAGACATGAAACAATTTTGAGGAATTCGCCCGCTGTCCACTGCTTTGGAGTAGCTGTAGCTCAAGCTGACTTGTCTCTAAGAGTTCTACATCACACGACCGTTGACTGACAAATGGTCTAGTGGGACCTAAGGCTCCTTTTATAGCGCGCCTTCGTGTTTAATGGATCGTTTGGGTCCCGATATTTTCTCAGTGCTGTGAATGAAAGGATAAGTTTTGCATCGTGCACGAGCGCATTTAAAAGTGCCTGGTTGGTCATTAGTCTGAAAAGAACTTCTGACCAAAAAATTGCCTATGTTTTTGTCGCGTTTGAATGAAATGAGCGGAGGCTGCGAAAAGATAGTGCTTGTCTCTGGATCGTTTTGAAGTAATTCAAAGTTTTTAAGAATGATGGATTTAACTGAGTGGTGAAACGTGAGAGTGAATGGATGCAGTCGGAGTCTTCCTTTTGTGACGTTTGTAGTGCTGAATGCCGATCAATAAGTTGGGCACGGTGGTAACCCGCTTGAACGACAGAATCGTTTATCGAAAAACTGGCACATTGACTCTGATTTGTGGTGGAAATCAGAGTCATCACTACATGAACGACGAAGTCTCAGAAACTGAGAAAAAGGAAAGGAGTTCTTAACGTGAGATGGATGCGAAGACGAATACAACAAGCAATTATGCGAGTCTGTAGATAAGATTGACATGTCTTCTAACCCAGACTTAATTAATTACGCATGCAGACTTGGTATAACTTCGAAGTTTTCGACTTTTTGGCGCTGTCGAATGCATTTCTTGGCTTCATCTTGAATGAAGTCAAATTCCAAAAAAAATTTAAGTCAACTTTCTTACATATTTCAATCTTTAGTTCGGAAATTTTGTCTTTTTAATTTGTGAGCGAACAGATTTGACACCCCTTTCGTTACCCGAGATGTAACTTGTCTAGGAATAGTTTCAAAATTTAGCTGTTTGGCTTGTGTGGTTGGCGGGTGTTGGGATTTCGAAAATCACTAGACCGCTTCAGAAAACACAAAGGAATATTTTCATTAACATTAACAGAAGGTGAAAGCGTTGTGTATTTTAAACTGGAAGGCATCCTGCAGTTTTATATCAGATAAACTGTTTCACGCCCCTGTGAATCGAATGTAACTTACGTTTATAATTTCACGGCCTCAGAACACAAAATTTACAACCGAAAATCATACAACATTTAAAGGACAACCAAGTCCTCATCAGGCAACTGAAGTCAGGGGTTAGGTTGTTCGGCATTTGCCATAATGACAACCTGGATTTCTTTTTCCCCATTGGAAATGCGGCGCCGCCTTTGAAGCGTCGTTATTGGTGGCGACGAAGACAGCAATTATCGAATACTCGAAGGAATCTTTCAAAGCCTTTAATTTAGCCAAATTTGTTCCAACTTCGAAAATTGTGGCCTACTAAAATACGCATTTGGAGGAAATTCAGTATAAAGTTAGAAAAAGGGCCGCTTCACTTACCTACTTCACCATCCACGCGTGGGTTTGACAACGCCCAACATCGAAAGAAAACATCACGATGTGATCGACTTGTTGTTTTCTTCTCGTTTCCGAATTCCAGTGGTCCCGACTATTCCTCGCTCTGTTCTTTTCTTGAATGGGATTCGTCGTAGTTTTTTCGTTTCCGACTCCTTGCGATCATAAATCGATAAGTTTACACATTTTTTCGAGTTAACATTTTCTTTCCTATTCATGTCGACCATCACCAAATGTATACTTAATTGTGGCCTTACTGGTATGACGTCGTAATTTGTGGTATATGAAGTATTTTTTCGAAATTTCTTACCCTTTTCGATGGTGTCTTCGTGCTAAAGCTCTAAACACAGAAAAGGGAAAATCCCTTACGACACGCTTATTGAGAGCGAGGATGGCGATTATGCGACGCGGGTGAGAGCAATGATAAAAACGTCAACAGCTTTTATTTTCATAACCCTAATTCGAAGTTTGAGCACAAGTCTAACGGGCACTCGTTAAAGAAGCTCTTCCTTGCAAATTTAAAACAAGGGCTAACAACCTAGAATTTTATACAAAGTTGACATTCTAAACATATTCGCTATGTAAGGTTCAAGCTCTGACTACAATTTAGGGAATAATGTCCATTGAACTGTGATGAACAGATTATCAAGTTTCACTCTCTTACATGATCTCGCTATGCGATTTACATGCTTAGCATCCATAGGAGGCAGTAGCCGTAAAAGCGCTTGGAAAAACGAAGCATTTAGCTGATCTACATTACGTTTGGTTTAACAACCAGTCAACAACTAAGAAAGTTATTTGTGTCCGTTAGGTTTATTCTCAATTGCTGTAACAAATGTAAGCCCCTAAGCATACAGAATGCCGGCCGAAACTGACAGCAATTCGTTAAATTCAGACGAGAATAACGCTGTTTTTCACCACATTAGGCCAGTTATTTGGGACAATAACTTGATAATTCTGCGATAGTTTGGCGATGGCGGTCTACGCTGAGTTTAAATGGACACGTAGCCATAGATGCTTATATTCTTACCTCTTGTGATATCCTGTATGCCTTTCTTGCCCTCTGCCTCATCTGGTCCAATGTCTGCAGCCCTTGTAGCGAAATACCTTGAGCCTGTGTTATCTTAACCATACGCTCGAGATCGTCGATTTCTTCAAAGTCTATCGGCGCACTCATGTTGCATACGCCTTTTGGATTCATGTACAATGAGCAGTTTCTGGAAAAGAGAGTAAGAAGTAGATCTGTTGATTTTGCATTAAACACGCACCACTTCTTCAAAGTCTATCGGCGCACTCATGTTGTGTACGCCTTTTGGATTCATGTACAATGAGCAGTTTCTAGAAAAGACAGCAGGAAGTAGACCAGTTGATTTTGCATCAAACACGCACCACTGTGGTTAATAGGGAGGTGCGGGTTATGTGTCAATTTTAGAATCTACTGTTGTTTGAAAGGAAAAAATTCCCACCTACCTGCGTTTCCGCCCCTCAAATGAACTCTATTGTATTAAGAGTGCCAAAAAAGCGGCACAAAAACATGATGCCGAGTCGAGTTTATATAATTAGTTGCACGACAAACAAATTTTTAGCTACACACGTGTAAACAAAATCTTGATGGTGACAAAAATAATCCAAGAAAATCCGGCGCATCAGTAAAAAATTTCCAGTTAACACTGGCTTGAGATAAAGTGAATTTTCCCGTTTTAAGGGACTTGTTAGGCCCAGTAGAACCGGAGATATCGATTTTTTTTGAAAAATCAACAAATCAACCGTGGAAACAGATAATCCGTATCATCAGGACGTTAAGCACTGTGCGTAATATTAAGCGGAATAAAGTGTAATTACGAGAAGAATATAACCTCCTCGATAGAAAGAAGAAAGAAAGTCTTAAGCACTCTAAACAACAAACTTGTCTAGTTACAATGATGAGGTTGAGATCGGAAGTCAGCATTATCAGGCGCCTCTGGCAGCCACTTCAGTCCATGTAACGATCTTACCTTCCCTCCCATCACACTCCAGGGGAGAACATCCACCACACAGTAATCTCGTGCGTGGGAAATTAACGTCTCCTACCCCTAACCCTGCAGGAGACGGGGCCTACGGTTTATTTGTCCTTATCCGAGAAGACTTGAATATCTATCCATTTCTTGATATTATAGAAAGGTAGCAAATTCTCCTCACTTATTTTAAGGCCATGAGTACTTGTCCGAANTTGTTACCACTCGCTTGGACGAATTAACGAAAGGTACCAAGACTCTATACTTTTCTTCTTTTATTCTCTTCTGTTCTATTGTTGCTACTACCTTCTACTACCACAGCTATTTCTCTTCTAACTTCAGCAAGGAGTGCCCGCGTATTTAATGCAAAAAATCACAGACATGTTTGGGTTAGCTGACCGTGGGAATTTCCAAAACAGGATGTTCAGTGTGGGTAAAACTCAAGGTCAGTTTTACCAACCCAAACATGACCACTAAGCAAACTAGTTATCCTCAACCATAACAAGCGATCTAGCACGGTAACAACTGAGCCAAGTTCAAGCACATTCTAAAAATAAATGATCAAAACTATAGATCTACCAAAATAGCACGTAGAGGCGAAAAGGCGAGACTTAATAGAACACAAGGTAAACCTAAAAATACTCGAAATATCAATCTTTGAAAATGCTCTACAACAAACATATATTAGCAAAAACCATTCAGTTAAAAAATAAGCAGTTGATGGTTTTCTATTTCAATGGCGGTCTTACTTTGCAAGTAGAGTAATTGTTATCTTTTCCTTTTGAGGGAAAATAGTCCACCTTTCTTAAATTTTCATTTGATACCTTCAACATTTCTTCCTTTAAGGTGACCTTAAGGGTAAACAGTTTGTACTTTTCATCTTCCGCAGTGAATCTATAATCAACTGACTCGTGTGAATAACACCCCTCTATCAACTATGATAACACCTAGTCTTTTTGGGGACGGGGACGGTACTTGTATATGTCCCTTCTTCCTCGAATTCTCTGTTTATTCTGTTGTTATATAACAGCCTTCTAAGGCTATTTTCTCTTAAGATATCTTTCCAGTATGACTATAATTCTGTCGATAAGTTAATTATAATTCTTATATTATCAGTCTTGTTTCTGTTTTGGCCGATCTTAAAATGTCTAAAAGCAAAAGTGTGAAATTTTTAGGTAGGAAGTCATTTTGTAAAGCGCAAACAACTCGAAGGCGCATACTTAGTATGCAGGAACTGTTACACGACAATTGCCGATAAACGAGCCAACAAGACGACTGAACGTGCCCGTACTGGACATCAACAGAAACTGATACGACTGCTAAGCGACAAAGGACAGAGATGAAGTAGACCGGACGACAACTGGATCTCTTCCCGTCCCTTAGACAAGACTGAAACTCGCGTACTGTCATACAGACCAAAACACTCAGTAACACCGAAACGTATACCGACCGAGGCCATTGTATCTAGCGTTGAGGCGGCTCTTTCTCGGCAACGAGAGCTATCTGAGCCGACCAAGGATAACATCAGAAGCAGAATTGCCTCCACTATACAATCAGTGTCACTACATGACAGAAACTTGACTAAGACGAACAACATGCACTGAAACGACTGAGAAACGACGAGAACATAGTCATTCTACCAGTCGACAAAGGACGAGTTACTATTGACGTGGAAAAAACTGACTATCACGACAAAATGGACGCGCTAGTAAACGAAAAGCAAACTTACGAAGAACTCGTGATCCGACTCCTGCACTTCATCGCAAACTCAACAGTAAACTACTGACGCTCAATTGCAAGAAGACGAAGACCATTGACACCAAACGGTACTATCGACTAAGGTGCTCAGTACCACAACCACCGAAACTCGACCGTTACCGAAACTACACAAACATTGTTTCGCGATGCGACCTATTGTTTCTCTCTGTGGTTCTCCTACATACCAACTATCCAAGTACCTGACGACAATACTACAACCGCTGACTGACAAATCCAGACGTAAACTACAATCCACTGAAGACTTCCTTAACTCGCTACTAAGACTGAACAGATACCTGGCGACTAAAAACTAGTGTTGTTTGATGTAAAATCACTGTTTACAAGTATTCCACTTCAATTGGCACTACAATGTACTGAGACTGCAATCCGACAATCTATACCGACCCCACTACCGCTACCGACAGATAACAGTATGGACTTACTTAACCTTTGCCTAATGTCAAATTACTTCCTGTACAACAGTAAACACTACAAGCAGTTACACGGCACAGCCATGGGGTCTCCGGTTTCTATTGTTGTAGCATAAATTGTGATGCAGAACATAGAGGAACGCGCCCTTTTGACTTACCCATAAACGATACCGCTTTGGTTATGCTACGTTGACGATACATTCATCGCCATACGACATGGCGAAATCGACGCATTCCACCACCACCTCAGTGGACAAAACACTGACATATAGTTTACTAGAGAAGTCGAAGAAAATGAAAAACTTCCTTTTCTAGACTGTCTGGTAAGCAGTGACGATAACTCCTACGGACGACATTTTGCAGGAAACCGACACACACCGACAGATAACTAGACAACTCCCGGCATCACACAAAGTCACAACCATCAGAACTCTTACACAACGCGTGAAACTAGTATGCAACACGACAGGCAGCTTATCCGACGAGAACAAATGCCTTTATCGTGTTTTTTTTCAAAGAACAACTACAACGACGACTTCATCCGACGAAACACTCACCGACCTACTCCTGCTACTGAAACCAACGACACCGTAACTCTCACGACCACAGCAACCATACCGTACATAAAAATTATGTCTGAGAACATCTCGCGCGTCTTACAACCCTTCAATATCCGCGTTGCCCACAAACCCATCACCCCACTACGTCACATGCAGTTACTAACCAACGTTAAAGACAAGGACGAACCGAGGAACAGACAGGGAGCAATTTATAAGATCAATTGCTCCGATTGCCAAGCCTCCTACAATGGAGAGACTGGCAGAAACCTTGCAATAAGACCGACTGAACACAGATGGGTCACGAAAGGTGATGTCAACAATCACATTGCTGAGCATCATTGACTTACGAACCACAATATTGACTGGGACTCTGCCTAACCTACAGCATTAATTACTTTCAACGGCTGACTCTGGAAAGCTGGTTTACTAACTTAGAACAGACTCCTATAAACAAGTGTCAACTTCGACCGGCTCCATACAAACGACTAATTCACGATATTAACATTACAAACGAGCTGAGTAGAACGACCTAACTTTACCGACGGATCGAAACAGACTAATCACGACCGACTTACGCCCCTTGAGTCTTACAGCCAATAACATCGCCGCATAACTGACCAATCATTTTACACGAGCTGGACTAAGAACATTTTACTGACAACAACTATTCACTTGACTCTGATGATGACTTCCGCACAGGTTGTAGAAACATCAGTCACCACCACCGACAACAGTCCTTCTTAGAACTACACTCACCCAAACGATCACACTAAACTTTCATTCAACGTGATTAGCTGATTGAGATAGAACGATGACGATCCAAGAAGATTGATAGCCTAGTAGTGTCCCCTTTAGTTTTGCCTTTATAAACTGGCGAACAGCATTTTCAATCAGAATAGAATTGAATTGAGTTTTTTGGATGAATGTGGCATTCTCTTTGATCCCCGAAAAGTTTAAGATTTGTAGTGTTCATCGCGAACAGAACTTTTGCCTGTAGTTACGCAGAAACTAGAAACTAGATATTGTAGAAGTTGGATCGACAATTCTTCTCGTACAAGTCGTTTCCGACGCCATTTTTACTTTCAGAGGCTTGGTTTCTTGGCTTGTTTACATAGGTCAAATGATATAATGTGGTTTGCCGTAACGCCATCCATTCCGTGACTTGGTTGCCTCACTTCCAATTTGAGCATAAACGTGACGCAAGTTTCATTTCTTTCCGGTCTTAATCTGCTTTTTTGCAATAAAATAATATAAAATCTTACCTTTCCAGTTTCGTAATCACTTGAAGCATTTACAATGTCAGACGCACCTCCTCCCGACTATATATTTAATACGACATTGGCACCACAACCTCCTTTACTGAAATGTGTCTCACAGTCAATGGCAGAAAATGTGGCAGAGCTGGGTTAGAGCTAGTTAGTTGGCTAGCCTTTATATACTGGTGAACAGTATTTTCAATCAGAATGGAATTGAATTGAATTGAGTAGAATAGATAGTTGAGTTAGTCCCCATAGCAGTAAGTTGTAATAAGAAAATCAAGCAAGAAATGAAAAAGTATCCACTGAGTGTTAGATAAAGAATCTAACACGAA